CACCCGCCTGCGGGTGGCGGTCTGTTCCCGCTCCCACCGCACCAGGCTGGCCGTGACCCTCTGTCCGTCCGTCCATCCTTTCTTTCCCCAGGTGGGTCAGTCACCTGATAACAGCCAAAACGAAGTACGCGCTGGCCCACCAGGCAGTCCCAGACCGGGAGGAAGGTAACGGGCCCTTCCCGGGGTGGGAGGCAGGGTCGGAGCCACAGGTCAGGGGTCCCGGTGGGGCAGCCATGCCTGGCACTATGGCCCCTGCGTGGGACCGCTGGGAGCTTTGCCTGTGATTTGGGGGATGTGAGGAATCCTCCCTGAGAGGAGGGCTGGGGTGATGCTCAGCCCTGGGGAGGGCTGGGGGGGCAGCCTGGGTCTTCCCACTCCCACCATCCTCACCCATGGCCTCCAGACTGCTACAGTGAGACAGAAGCCGAGGACCCTGATGAGGACTCCCCCCGGCATGGCTGTGACTCTGTGAGTGGCCCTACGGGAGATCCTGGGGAGGGGATGGGAGATCCTCATCTCAACTCCCACCTCGTCTCTCCTCCAGCCAAAGAAGAGGCTGCAAAACGCCCCGGAGAAAGCCCAGCTCCTCCCGGCCAGCGGTGAGCCCAGCAGCACAGCCAGCAGCCCCCAGGGCAGCCCCCAGCCCTGCTCGCCTATGGGTAGGTGCTGGGGGGTGTCATCTGTCACCTTGTCACCTTGTGTGCACCCTTTAATTGAAGTTAGGACCACCCTTTTGCGTGTGTGTGCTGGGAGTGACTCCAGTTGGGATGTATTTGAGTGTGAACCATGTAGTCTCTCAGGATGCTCTTGGGGCAGGGTGATGCGCGGGGGCAGCCCCATGGGGTTTTGGAGCTGCCCGCCTGCTACAGTGCCCCCTCCTCCCCCAGACCCTGCTGGGGAGGATCTCGAGTGCCTGATGCGGTGCCTGAAGCAGGGAGGAGTGTCCCTCATCGGGCGGCAGCGGTTCCTGACACAGGAACAGTGCCACAAGTCCTTCATCCGGCGCAACAAGAACCCCCACATCAACGAGAAGGTGCATGTAGTGCGGGCCCTGCAGAGCACGCTCAAGGTGGGAGTCCACGGCCCCCTAATCCCCCAAAGCCCCCTGCCCATGGGCAGCCACCCCAAAACATGCCCTTCCTCTCGGCAGGCGAAGCTGGTGGAGCTGCAGGCTCTGGAGCAGCTGCTCAGCGACGCTGCGCTCACCTCGGAGAAGTTCACGCGCTGGAAGGAAGAGCACGCGGGAGTGGGGGGCGCGGCAGCAGGGCGGGGACAGTGATGAGGGGCTTGGGGCTGAGCACAGCCTTGCTAAAGAGGCAGCCGAGCCCTGACACCCCGCACAAATCATTGCTGATAAAAATCACGGTGCTGCGGGAGCAAAGCGGGCACTCTGCCCGTGCTGGGGGGTGCTCAGGGGGATAGATGACATTTTTGAAGGCTCGGCCCCCAGCACGGACTTGCTGCAGAATTGGCTTCTGCTACATCCCCCCTCCCTGGGGTGTGACGTTGCAGTGACAGTCTTGCTTTTTTCAAGGACGTTTTGCCTTGGCTGCACATTAGCAGCGGGGGCCTTTTCCTGGAGGAATGTGCCCCCGCTGCACCCACCGGCACGGTGCCGCCAGCCATCCTGGCCAGGGTCTCTTCTGCTGTAAATAAAAGTGTTGATAAAGGATGATTGTGCCATGTTTTTTCTTAGCGCTGAAATGTCCCTGCAGTCACAGCCAGCCCCTAACCTGTGCCATGTGCCACCATCCTGAGGGGGTTGTGGCATCCCTCTGTGCCCTGCTCTCCTCTCCCCTCTGTGCCAGCCCAGCTTGGGGGTGGTGGGGGGACAGGGATGGGCTCCCATGGCGCTGCAAGGCCAGGAAGGGTGATGCAGCTGGGATGGTGTCCCAGGGAGGGCTGGGGTGCTCTGGGGACTCGCAAGGGGAGAGTGCAGGGCAGGAGAGGGAAGGAGATGTAGTCAACCTGGAAATGGCAGATGGGTCCTGTTCCTCCCTGTGCCACCAAGCCCCTCACAGACACGCTACAGCTGGGTATGGGCAAGCTCTTTATTCAGCTGCGGCTACAGAGGCTAAAACCTGCATAAGGATTAAAGCACGATCAAGAAACAGGCAAGAAAGCATCAATGCTAGCTTGCTTTTGAGTGAAAAATTACCAGTGAAGAGGTAAAGGTCGGGAATGGACCCACCTCTTCCACCCCATGACGGTTGGAGGTGTGTCCAGGGCGGCCACGGTGGGAGGCTGAGGAGCTGTTGTCACCCCACTGCGAGCAGCCTTCTCCTCTGATGCTCACAGCAGGAACCAGTCTGTCCCAGCGCC